TCCACTCCACTCCACTCCACTCCACTCCACTCCACTCCACTCCACTCATTCCTATTCCTATTCCATTGCCTCTCCTCTCTGTTCTATTCTCTCCTCTCCTCTATTGTATTATCTATTCTATTCTCTAATAAAATGGATGGGTAAAGTAGTCCAACATCATCTAAAAGAACGCCTTGCTGTTAAAGAACTATCAACTCCCAGCCGGTTCTGAATGTCTCACTCTTCTTCATTCCAGTTTGGCACCTACCCGTCAGAATCGCCCTCGCTTTCCAAGAGGCTCTGGCAGCCTTTCTCACATCTGTCCACCGCTGCCGCGAAGTCCCTGTCCAAAACCAGGAGTTCAGCCGCTTCCTCTAATAAGGAAAGTGCTTGGGGTGCCGCTGGGCAGAGAAGGCTGGGCTCGCTGCTTCTTAATAGGCCCCTCGCCCTAGCCACGGCAGCCAACATCGCCGGCGAATCGTTCTTCATGATGGCATGATCCTCAAAGGCAGAAGCCTGGGAAAAAAAATTTTTTTACACAACAGGGCGTCGATCACTTTTGAAATTTGATTTGATGATCGTTGGGTGCTCCTAATACACTTCCACGCCTAACCCCACCCCGGTCCGTGCAATTAGTTGCTAGCAAAAAGGAGGAGGAGGAGGGGGTTGAAGGGATTGCAACAGCTAGTACTGCAACCTACTAAAAGGTTTCACCTTGCAGTCTTCAGTACCCAAGAGGGAAAAAATAAAAGGGCGAGCAGCGATAACGATCTGGACGAAGCGAAAAACCAGCTCCAAGTGTAGTTAGGATGGTTTATATTGGCTCTTGTAGATCTTTGTCCCGAACCTTTTTTTCCCGCCCCCTCTAATCCTTGCAAAAAAAAACAAACAAAACAACCGAAACGCGCTTTCTTTCTTCACCACCGGTTGCAAAAGAGATCCCAGCAGCCCGTCTCCGCTTCCCTGGGATGCATTTTCTGCAGGTGCCTTTTTTGTTTTCAGTGCAAAAATCGAATTGTTTTCAATTGCAAACAAATTTCAGTGCAAAAAAAATGGTTTTCAATTGCAAAAACACGAAGGAAATGGGGGTGGAGGGGGGTGGGGGAAGCTGGCAGAGGGATTCCGGACTACAAAGACCAGAAGGCTCCTTTTTTTACAGGAAGTGGTTTAAAAACGGGAGGAGCAAGGGAGCGGGGCGGGGATTCCTACTGTAACGGCAAACATTTAAATTTGTCTTTTAATTTTGCGCTCTTGTTATGGCGTGTTGCAATTATAGGGGGTGGGATTCAGTAGATCTGCCTTTTCTAAAGGTTTCTCAGATGATCTTTCTCGGTTGTTTTTTTTTTTTAAATTTGCATGCTCAAATATTAATATATTTCCATTCCAGACAGTGGCAAAATCCATTTTTTTTAAACTACTGTGGGCTTGGCTTGGTGGGCGTGGCAAGGGAAGGGTACTGCAAAATCTCCATTCCCACCCCACTCCAGGGGAAGGGTACTGCAAAATCTCCATTCCCTCCCCACTCCTGGGGGAAGGATATTGCAAAATCTCCATTCCCAACCCACTCTGGGGCCAGCCAGAGGTGGTATTTGCCGGTTCTCCGAACTACTCAAAATTTCCGCTACCAATTCTCCGAACTGTTCAAAATTTCCATTACCGGTTCTCCAGAACCTGTCAGAACCTGCTGGATTTCACCCCTGATTCCAGCCCTTCCAGCCCAAATGTCTATTTAGCAGCCAATGATCTCAAAGTCAAGATGATCCTTGGTTACTTTATTTTCTAATGCTAGGTAAACTGGGTTTATGTTCATAATTTGGGCGGCTAATCTGACACGACTACGCACGATGGACTTCAATGAAATGTCTGCTTTTGAGCAGCTTTTATTCCGTTTCCTCGTTTTACATGGAAAAGAAACTGGTTTGCGTGAGAGATAGTAGGCTAAATGTGATTCTCTAATTTGGGGTCCTGTTTAGTAATTTAATAATGTTTCGTAATTTGGGATTACTGTTTAGTAAAGCAGTGGCTCAGTGGCTAAGACGCTGAGCTTGTCGAACGAAAGGTTGGCAGTTCAGCAGTTCGAATCCCTAGTGCCGTGTAACGGGGTGAGCTCCTGTTACTTGTCCCAGCTTCTGCCAACCTAGCAGTTCAAAAGCACGTAGAAAAATAGGGACCACCTTTGGTGGGAAGGTAACAGCGTTCCATGTGCCTTTGGCGTGGAGTCAGGCCGGTCACATGACCATGGAGATGTCTTCGGACACAGAGATGAGCACCGCCCCCTAGAGTCGGGAACGACTAGCACATATGTGTGAGGGGAACCTTTACCTTTTTAGTAAAAGACCCCTTCATGGATTATTGCCTTGTCGTGGCGAAGGGGCTTGCCATAGCTCAATGAAGCTATGAGCTATGCTATGCAGGGCCATCGAAGACAGACAGGTCATAGCAGAGAGCTCTGACAAAACGTGACCCACTGGAGAAGAAGATGGCAACCACTCAGGGCTGGATTTAGATGAAAAGAGGCCCTAGGCTATTCCACTTATGAGGCCCTTTCACCTATAGTGAAAGTGTAATTTTAATTTTGCTAACAATTTGAATGTAGGCCCCTCTTGATCTTGAGGCCCCCTCTTGATCTTGAGGCCCTAGGCTGAAGCCTAGTTAGCCTATAGGAAAATCCGGCCCTGCAACCACTCCAGTATATTAGTAAAAGAACCAGCGAAGTCTGGGATAGTGTTTCTCAATCTTATCAAGTTTAAGATGCGTGGACTTCAATTCCCAGAATTCCTGGGGGGGGGTTGCAGTCCACCATCTTAAATTTGCCAAGGTTGAGAAGCACTGGTTTAGGAAACTTTGTATTCAACTACCTTTGCAAGCAGGTGTTACTATCCACAGGGGTTAAGGTGGTGGGGAGGAATCTACCATTTAGATTTTGGGGCGGTGTTGACCAGGGATTATGGGAGTTGAAGTCCAGTACATCTGAAGTAGTGGTGGGGTTCAAAGTTTTTTACTACCGGTTCTGTCGGTGTGGCTTGGGCATGGCATGCCATGGCTTGGTGGGCATGGCAGGGGAAGGATACTGTAAAATCCTGATCAGCTGGGACTTGGGAGGCAGAGAATAGATGGGGGTGGGGCCAGTCAGAATCTTTACTACCGGTTCTCCAAACTACTCAAAATTTCCGCTACCAGTTCTGCAGAACTGATCAGAACCTGCTACAACCCACCTCTGATCTGAAGGCACCTGTTCTCTCTTTTCTTAAAGGCTGGGAAAAAAATGCAATGAAGTTTTTAGACAAATGTAGGATGTCTAGCCACTCCTCTGCAAGTGAGCTGTATCTCATGAAAGTTATATGTCTTTCAATATGATTTATTAGTCAGGTGCTTCCAGACTCCTGATTTTTGGCTATAGTAGGCTAATATTGCTGTTCTCTTACAATGAGTAGAAGATGCATTTCTTCTTTCTGGTCACAAGGTGTCACTCCAACCATGTGTTGCATTGAATTTAAGACTAAATAAGACAATAAGACAATAAAATAATGCGTGCTACACTGAATAGCATGGATCATATATGGTGGATTTCCATAACACACTAGCCTAAATCCTACTTTGGGCACATTATGCCAACACCAGGGGTGAAATCCAGCAGGTTCTGACAGGTTCTGGAGAACCGGTAGCAGAAATTTTGAGCAGTTCAGAGAACCAGCATATACCACCTCTGGCTGGCCCCAGAGTGGGGTGGGAATGGAGATTTTGCAATATCCTTCCCCCAGGAGTGGGGAGGGGATTTTGCAGTGTCCTTCCCCTGGAGTGGTGTGGGAATGGAGATTTTGCAGTATCCCTCTGCCATGCCCACCAAGCCACACCACGCCCACCTAGCCACACCCACAGAACCAGTAGTAAAAAAAATTGGATTTCACCACTGGCCAACACCCAACTCTCTGAAGAAGATACTAATGCTGGGAAAGATGGAAGGAAAGAGGAGATGAGGACAACTATCAGCAAGACGGATGGATTCAGTTACAGTGATGGCAACCTTTAGACCTGAAATAGGTTAGAGATAAATCACCATGGAAAAAATCTACGTGGTTGCTAGGAGTCTAAAATGACCAGGTGGCCCAATATCAATTAAGTCCATGTTGTATGAGTGGATGTATAAATTCAATATACCCTGGTATATATATCAAAGGTTAGTGGTGTTACGCGAACACAATTTCAGAGTAGACTTCAAGGAAAGGAGGGGTGTTCCTTTCTTCAAGGTTACTACTTTAGTATTTCAGTTTATTCACCAATGCTGAGAAAGACTGAGGGGATTTTGGAGAAACTATGTAACTATTTGGCAAAACTTGATTTAAACTCAGGATAGGAAGAAAACATCAGAAAGAAACTCAAATTACCTCTGCCTTTTGCAGTAGAAGGGGAAAGGAAGAAATACATTGTGAGGCTTCAAGATGAATGCCAGCCTTTCAAACTGAGCCAGATCAGGAAAAAGTTTCTACAAAGAATATTGAAAGTCAACTTAATTGATACAGGTTATCATAACAGAATCTTGAAAGGCTGACAGGATTTTCCATCCCTCCTCCTCATATTATTCTTTTTAACCTTTCTGTTTTGGGCATGAATGTTTTGCTAACTGCTGTGGCTAATTAGTCCAAGGTCATCTCTGTGGCTCATGAGAATAAACCAGTTATGCACTTGTCAATAAGATCCTGCAAAATACTATCAGGATTATACTTTGCTTGGAGAATTAGAACTGATCAACATTTTTCTAATTGTTTAGCAGGATCCAGCTAATCTGAGATGGGAGATCAACAAATCCTATATTGTGGCCTATGGAAGGCAATTCCACTTTTATTGTATTTGGTTTTATTTCAATAAAGACCACACTTTTTTCCAAATATGGAATTTAAGGGCTTATGATAAAATAAATTCAACAGAATTTTAATTTCACAGTAATGTATTTAATATACAGCTGCATTATAGCTTCTGACAGCTTCTGACTCCAATTCAGAGCCAGCTCCATCCTGAACTGGAGCTAATAAATCAGTGCAAGAGATCAGAAAAGTCCTTAGCTAAGAACTACATTTCCCAGGATGTATTTTGACAGATACCTGATTTATACTAGCCTGTGCCCAGTTTGAATTCCCTAATTTGGAAAAATATACAGTTTTGACAGTTGCTAAGCCTTCAACAATTTTTCCACTATTTTGAACAATAAAAAGGAAGAGAAGAATTGAAGTAAGGGACTGAGGTAAATAAGTTAACAGCCTGCAGATGTTCAAGCTTGCATGTTTGTTTCTGGAAGACAATTGGGATTTAGTTTACAGCAGTGTTTCCAAAATATAGGTAAATTACCCCAAATTGGGTGAAAGTGATTTTTCTTTGGGTAACAACATATAAACATTCCAATCACAACACATGAACCTCCCAATCACTTTACGTTAAGTCATTGTAAATATCCCTGTCAGAAATAGGGATGTTTACATTGACTTAAAGTGTTTTATCTACAAAGGACTTTTTGACAATTGGTTTTGAGTAACAAAGGAAAAAGTTTGAGAAGAATTGGTCTACGGGGAGGATAAAGGATTACATGACTGGTTTTTTTAACGAACTCTGAAATTAATCATATTCCTATTTCCAATTTAAACAGTAAGGAATAAGTAACTATAAATGTCCATATCTCAGCTTCTTCTAAATAGCAAGACTAAATAGCAAGAGCCTTGGTAGTACAGTGGTTTAATGCACCCTGTTATTAACACAGCTGCCTGCAATTTCTGCAGGTTCGAATCTTACCAGGCTCAAGGTTGACTCAGCCTTCCATCCTTTCTAAGGTAGGTTAAATGAGGACCCAGTTTGTGGGGGCAATAAGCTGACTTTGTATAAATATACAAAAGTATGAAGGCTATTGCTTAACGCATTGTAAGCCGCACTGAGTCTCCGGAGAAGGGCGGCATATAAATCAAATCAAAAAAAAAAAAAGAAGACTACAGTCCAGTATAAATTAATCACAGTTTTTAAGACAATTAATTGTATGCCCTGGCATGAAAGCAAGCCCCATTTAATGATAGTGGAACAATGCCTGGCCTAATTTTATTTTATT